GTTACTCATTACTGTGATTAACCTGGAAAGTTTCATTTACTGCAGCCCACCATTGCAAGGGTTTGTTAATCAGAAGGCTTTCTGAATCTACTACTAATTGAATGAATCTTTTACAGGCAGATAATTCTGTTTTACCTCCCAAACACCTACTGAAGTTCTTGTATTACGTGAAAGTGTAATGCTCCATTGTGTACTTCTTTAGTGTAATTGCATGACCGAAAAGTATGGGCTTTAAGGAAGTATTTTCTCAGAGGTGTCTTATCTTCAGGACAGGTGCTCAGCAGCACTTGAGTTAATCTAACCTGTACCTAATGACACACAGAATGTGCATTGTTTGCCTTAAAGGCATCACAGTCATCTGACCCCTAGTCTTTCCCCCCAGCAGTGCCAGGATGATTAGGTTACAGGGTGCTCATCTCGGTTACAAGGTTCATTTTAAAAAGTGATGTAATTAGGCCATTAGATCCAGGTAATAGGTTGTTAGACTAGTGGAGCCTGACAAAAGGTGAGCAGATCAGTTGCAGCTCTCTACCATACTCTAGCTTACAGGATGTATAATGAGATTTGTTCTATGGGTGGCTCAAGAATGGATAACAGCAGTTTTATGGAAACCATTTGCCCTGGAATGAAAAGGAAAACACTGCTGTGGTCCTACAGTATCTCTGTCATCTCCAGCCTCCAGGAGGGGGTGCACACTAATGCCAAGTCCCACTCCTCCTGCTCACACCCTGGGAGATTGTGCTCTGTGACCCTGTCGAGTCCAATTACTGTTTTGTAACATATACCGCTCCTGAATGTTTTCTCGCCTAATGAAAGCTATGCTCCCAGTAGATTAAGCTCTTTCTATTGGTACATTTCCTTCTTAGGAGATGAAGAAATAATTTTGTTCACAACGTCCTGAAACAAATGATGTTTTAATCATTTAAACCCTGTGCACTGCATAAAAATGTCTATCTTCATGTATCCACATTTTCTGAACAACACAAATTTGAACTGACAAAAAATATTTAAGACCTACGAAGCAAGTGTCTTGTATTTTAGAGTTTCTAAAGGGCACAACATAAGATCTTTGTAAAGTGAGTCCTTGACTTAACATATATTTGATGTCATGTTCCAAGTACTTGTCTCTTTTCTTAGGAAAAAAAACACTGGCCTCTCTGATATGGCTGGATGTCACTGATTGTCTGCCATGTGTTAATGTAGAATGCCAGAAAGAATTGGTCCTTTAGGAATGAGAGAATGTGGGAAGATAAACTAAATCCTATATTCAACCGATACAATAATTGTGACACATTACATGTTACACATGCTGCAACCCTGAAATTCATATTGCATGCCATTGCTTTAAAATGCTATTAACTCTTGTATAGAAACAACATCTCAACCAGCAGAACTGCAAAATTGGTTAATGCAAAGTTATGTACTGAAAATCTTGTGTAGTTAAACTAATCTGTATATTTTGAAGTCCTTTTATACAAGTAGTCTACTTTTGTAAAACTATATTGGTGATAATACTTAATCTGTTATCACTTATCTTACTGCACTCTATAAATCAGGCACACTATTATCTGTTTGGAACTGATGCAGAAATTTCTAATTGAGGGAGAAAAATAGTTGCATCTGGTAATTAACTAGAGGTGCAGTGCGAGTGCCAAATGGGGCCCATGTAAGGCACAGCTGTCAAGTTTTAAAACCTCAAGATGTATAAATCATTGCTGAAAGCCACATAAATTGAAAGACCAAAAGGTGAATATTTACTATTGGTTATTTCTCAGAAGCACAGGGAAGCTAATTATGGTTCGCCTGAGGAAAATCCCAGAACCTACAAGGTGAAATTAAAGGACCAGCAACGAAGACAGTGACGCACAAAGTATAATAAGCTGTTACACTTAAGGACCTCTGGTTCAAACGAGAAACGGAATAAGACGATAAATGAATGCATGGATCATATCATATTATATCATATCATGGGGGTGACACGGTGGCACAGTGCTTAGCATTTCTGTCTCGCAGAATTTGATCCCTGGGTATTGTTCCTGGAGTGCCGTCTGAGTGGAGTTTGCGTGTTTTCACAGTGCTTGCTTGGGTTTGTTCTAGTTTCTTTCCTCAGTCCAAAGATATACTGGTGCTGTAGGTTAATTGGTTTCTGGGAAAATTGGCCCTGTTGTGAGTGTGTGCATGTTTCACCTGTGATGGACTGGCATTCTGTTTAGAATGATTCCTGCCTTTTGCCCATTTCTTCCTGACAACATGACCTTTAATTAGATGAAGCAGTTAGAAAATGGATGGATTATATTATGGAAGGGAGTATTTATCTGTTGCTGAATTAAAAGCTGATAGTCAGCCTACCGTATGTTTTTTGTGAAGATAATGATAATAAAGGTATTAACAGAATGTCCGTTGCTGAATCAAGTCAAGAATATATATACTGTACACTCCTTTTTTCTAACATAATCCACTCTGCTCCTTTGGTGAATTTAGGATACATAATATTGGATGCTTATCTTATTATATAATTTCCATGGCCAGTAGGAAGAATTTATTTGGTACGATTAAACTGGTGTCATCCAGCTTTTAAGGTTTAGCCTAAGACCAGGGTCATCACTTTCAAATGAAAACCTCACCACCTATTAAGCACATTAATAAAAGTGAAGTGTTCTGAATAGTAATCAGAATATAATTGTTAATAATGGGATGTGGCAGGAATGCTTGAGCAATTATTATTACTTGTGCAGTTTATAGAACATGTTGGCTATCTGACCGCAAGCTTGGGTTCTGAAAGTACCATATTGCTATATTGCCATGTGAAAAAAACCTAACTAGTGTACATCTACTTGCCCTGTTGCTCCTATAGTGTTTAACTGTGATCATGCCCTTTCAAAAGAACATAGTTTCCCTTATACTTCATTTGAAGGAAATGCCAACTAATTAAATGTAACAACTGTGACTTTTTTCACCTCCCTCCTGCCTCTGTCTCTCTGAAGCAAACTGCTCTAAACTCAGTGAGGGATCGGGACCATTTCATTCTCTGATCTTTGATATGTAAATTGTACTGTCTTCAGTTTAGGCCTTTTCAGTCAGAAGTAATACACATACAATCACCTTGAAATCTATTCTTATCTAATCTAATGTTACTGCAGTGCACAATAATCTCTGGTTTCTCTGTTGTATTCTGTCTAGGGTTGGATGGATTAAGGTGCATTTCCACTAATAAAACTATGAATCACTGTATATTCATTGGCACTCCAGTTGATATTAACACATAAAGGTCATGCTTAGTTCATGTAAATATACTGTACACAGCTTCAAAGGAAAATATCACTTATTTATACAGTATATGTGTGGTTAAGAAAAATAAAGTATATGGATTTGGAATATTGATAAAATGTTTTGGCGTACTTCTGAATGTTCACTCATGACAGACCATGATACCCCTGAATGACTGTAACCGTTGCATCAGTGGGAAATGTGTTACAGTGGGGACTTGATTCAGCATCCAACCAAAGGGGCAAACTAGAGTGTATTTCACATTGAAATGTAAAAATAAAGAAGAAAGAACACAAGGTTTCAGATTAACTATATATTTCTAATATGTTGTAATACCTTTGTAAATCTCTTGCAGTTATACAGTAAGGGATAAGTTTCTTTTGATGCTCAAATAAATATGTATTTAATTATGAAGATTCTTTAGGTATAGCCAATATTACATTCATACTGAAATTTCACTTTCCTTTTTAGACCCCGTCATTTTACATCGACCACTGAAGACTTTTTTTTTTGTGTGTAAAGGTATCAATCGGGAAGGGTGATATATAAAATGAATGAATAGAAGGAACTTACTAGTATGGCTAGCTCACTGTTTGATAGCATTCTGTTAGTCTGTTGACCAAGTAATGCACCTTAACAAACTCCTTTTACTATATTAATTCATTTGATTCACTGCCTTGAAAGTCAACAGATGTCTTCTTGGTCTGAGAAAATATTTTGAGTCTTTTCTAACAGCACTCTGAACTTAGATCAATTTCTTTTCTGAACTGTCAGGCCCCATTAAGTGCAAACACGTTTGTTTTAACCATGGCTTGCTAATTATGGGTGCTCTCATGCCAAGAAGTAATAACAAATCAGAAAAAAACAGGGCACCTTGTACTGAGCATTTTCTGAGCAAAAACCTCTTTATGTTCCAGAAACTGGTTACGACTTATTTATAGTCACTGTCTGCCTCTATAAAACACCTAGGACGTTTGGGGTGAAATATGTATATTTTCAAAGCTTTAAAGTGTATAAACAACTACAAATGCACAGTTGCTTTATAAGTTTTTTATATACAGTAATGATTTTCTTTAAAGATAGAATTGATTTATCACAGGGGGGATCATCAGTGATTATTAAAGATTCATCATTTCCTCATAGTCTAGTTTAGGTTAAAGGATTTGACTGTCGGTATAATTAACTGTACAGACTGGCTTTGTTTTTAAGCTAAACAGTTTTGTTCTGGAGCATTGAGGGCAAAGGTGATTTTTCTTTAATGTTAAGGGTTAAGAGTTAATGTACCTTTTTTGCTTCTAATCATTGTCTTACAATTTTTAGAACAAGAGATATCCATTTGGACTGTTGGCACTATGCCTTTTGAATGATGGTAGTCTTTATCTACTGTACAGTATACTGTAAGTATCAGACTGAGTTAATGGTGATTCTTTCCCTACAGGGACATTAAGCCAGACAACATTCTGCTTGATGAACATGGTAAGTGCTTAAAAGCATGTGTATTATGTTATGTCATTCCTGGATTTTTTTGATCTTGCTAGAAAAAACCCACGTGTTGAGAAAAGGGCAGCCTTTCAATTGTTTATTGTGTCTCCTAAAAACGAAAACTCAGTTTCATAGCTACTGATATTACATGTTTGTAGCTGCAGATCTTAACATAGCAGAATAAAAGTTTCAAAACTGCGTTGCTAATCCATTAGTGCTCTCATGAAGATGTACATCTAGGAGGCTTTTGTACCAATTATGACGACAGAGTGCTAGCTGTCAGCTGAGTAAGGGAAACATTAATGTTCTGTCAGCGTCCTGTAGTTGTTGTCAGGGAAACAAAGAATATCCGTCGCTGCATAATGCAAACTGGGATAATCCTTTGCCAGCAGCAAATTACACTTTGGATGTTAATGTCTTGAATCATTGGTTTAAATTCCAAATAGTGATTCCCATAAAGTGTTTCTTTCTGCATTCACTAATAGACAAAAGATCAATTTAGACTATATACTGTATGTGACAGCAAAACTAGGAACCCAGAGGAAAAAAAGGCTTTTTGGCGAGCCAAGGTGTGTTCCTCAAAAGGAAATATTTAGCTACAGGACTATACATTTTCTTCTTCTGTAAACATGCCTCCCTCCCTTCCTCCATTCTGATCTCAAACTTCTCTAATTTTTTATTTTCAATCTCGACCAGCAGAATGCTCTCCAAATTCTATATACAGTAGATGTATAAAATCAATTGGCCCTCATTTCACAGATAGGTTAACAGCCAATACCTAAATATATCATACATTTAAAGTAATTACTCTTGGCATAACATAAGCAGTTGAATGACAAAAACGATTTAAGCAAACCAAAACTTAAAATTACTTGGTCATTTTTAAACTAGAGATAAACAATTCTTTGAAGGAACTGCTGTAGTAAGCAATTTGCTTCAGGAGAAGAGGATAATAAATGGATTTTATGGATGCCCTATATGATAACATTTCTGAGGGTAGATAATTTTTATGTCAAACGCTTCAGTGAAGTTAAGGACTTGGCAGGTTGAAAAAATATGTGTGTACTTTGATGCTCAATGGTGCATACAGTTCACAGGAGATAAATGATGATCTCAACACATAAAGAAATAAAAGTTACTATCTGTGTAACTCATGCCTGCCAAGGATGAAAGTTACACCTTATGCTTTTACAACTATACTTATTAATCCACACAAAGCGATTTGAATTGAAACATTTTTCTCTGATTTGTTTTAAATGAATGCTGAATATACATTCCATTATGTACTTTTTCCATATATTATATTTGATTACTTGCAACTAGCAGAAAACGCAGCATAGTCAATTTTAAATGTGCTCAGTTCTAAGGTAAGAAAGTGAAGTAGGAAAAAATGAAAAGAGCATTTAATGGAAAAAGAACAAATGCTTTTCACTTGCCATAACCCCCTTGTGTTAAACCAGGGATGAATACAATCACATGCACATTTCCAGAGAAAGTTTTTTTTTTCATAATCTTCTCCAGCTCTCCCACAAAACTTTATCTTTTGTATCTCTCACTAAAGTGCTTCTGTGTGCATGAATGCTTTTCATTATTTGCCGTGCTGTTTTACATTCAGAGTGTAGCTATCATTGCGAATTGATCAGGGACACTCAGTTTAACGAGTTTTGGCTCCGCAACAAAATATTACTGTAGGGAGGACCAGCCATACAGTACGTATCTGTGTCAGTAATAATCCCTGCCTGGTTTTTCTTATTTCAACAAATTACAACAATGGCAAAGCAAGGTGACACTGGTGAGAAGCAGCTTCAATTTCACCAGACGCGGGCTATGCAGGTGTTCAGACACATCATTGACACACTCCAGTTTTGCTCTTTGCAGTGACAATACATACTGTATGTGATACCTACATCAGAGGGCTCTCTCATGTAATTCTGGCTTGTACCTCTGAGGACAGCCAGTCTCTCTGTCTAAAGTGTATTGATTCGTTTATGATATTTATCCAGAAATTCTAGTGTGTTCTTTGAAATCATTTACCATCAGATTAAGAAATGCATTGGAACTTCACCTATACTTGATATTCATATTTTAAAGTCAACGCCTCTCAATGATGAAAGTGGAATTCCCAGATATTTCTGTGTATGGCAGGTAGTCACACATCGTTCTGAGTTTATTTTGTGATTGTACATGACAGGTGTCATGTAAAATACCATCCTCACAAGGATAAATACCCTGATTTTTTGCCCTGTTGTATCTTCCAGGCCATGCACACCTGACTGATTTCAATATTGCTGCAATTGTGAAGGATGATATGCGGGCTTCTTCTATTGCTGGGACAAAGCCCTATATGGGTAAATACTGTCTCATATGCTACATGAAACAGCTTTTCCTTTATGGGGTACTGCATTTCTAAATCACTCTTATATATCTGAAATGAAACAAAATATCATCATCACCTAAATAAACTAGATAAGCAAAACCATTTGTTCCTTATAATGAGGAGAGGAAAACAAATCTATGTATTCATTTTAATAATGAGTGTAATAAACAGAAAGCTAAAATACTGAACTTGAATTTTATTTAGATACAGTATGTCATATAAAGGTGAGGTAAATGTTTTATTTTCCCTAATGTCTTTGGTATTTTTTCTGCATAGAAAACAGATTCAGAAATTCTAAAATCTCTAGTGTTAAACCTAAAGACTCTGGTATTCTGCCTCCCTGGTATGTGAGTAAATGATACTTTTCTCAGTTCTCCTTCAGATACTGATTTCTTCCAATTTAATTCATTTTCTGTAATTTTATTGAACGAAGCTTCTACTGTAGCTTATTATTCTCCAGATAATGCATTTGGTCAGTCTCCTTGCAGTTCCTAGTAATCAAATACAATTTAATCTGATTATTGTTGGGTCTAATATTGTGTAGATCCCCCCTGAAGGAGATGTGTCTGGTGGGAAGTAAATAAAATGACTGATACATGTTTTTACTGGGACTGACAGAACAAAATCATTAATGATACAAGAGGCTGAGGTTAAGTTTTTGTTAGCATCGGTTCACTGAACTGAGGCTTCAAAAGGGTATTAGAACAAAATCTAAATAAATTAATTAAATAAGAAATATTTTCTGTACTTATGGTTAATGAGATAAGTGACCAGAAGAATAATGTCTTGGTAATTACTTCATTTCACAACAATTGATAATCACTTACTCTTTGATGAGATTTTAATTTTACACTTCATTTTATATTATTTTATTTATTGCATATTTTTCCATTTTAAATTAATATTTTGTTTCTTTAGTGTGGTAGTTTTGTTTTAACCACTATTAAAGCCTCATAAAAGCAGTATATCAGATATTATTCCAAAACCATTCATAGATATATGTGTGTACATATAGTATATCTGTGAGCTAGAGACAATATGGTACATGTACTGTATATATTTTTGCAGCCTCCTCATAATTTGACAAGCAGCATAGTTTAAAACAGTGTATACCATATTCCATTAATACTTCCTTGTACTCTACATTTCACTATGCTCTACCAACTAGATAGATTACTTCTTCATGACTCTTCAATGTGTCTTCTTTACTGTTTATGATGTCACTATGCTCTGCTCCACTACTCTGCTTTTACCATAATAAAAACATCAGTAACAATAGTCCTTATTGACACAGAACACAATAAAAATGCCTGCAAAGATAATCACTAAGATCACTTAACACTCATCTCTGTGCTCTTTTTTAAGCTCCTGAGCTGTTCCAGCCTTTTGAAGGGACTCACCCAAGTTATTCCTTCAACGTAGATTGGTGGTCCTTAGGAATCACTGCCTATGAGCTCTTAAGAGGACAGGTACAGACACCTGTGCACTTTTGGGTATTATTTTCTCTTGGTGAAATACTGTATCTGCCATGCAAAAAATATCTTTAATAACTCCAAATGATAAAACATGGTAAAATAAATCAGCATAAAGGCTGAGAACATTCATTGGGAACATCAGATCTACTGTTAGCTCCTAAGATGCCTCATCCCTTTTACTGTACCTATCTGTGAATTGGAGGAGTGTCACAACATCAGCAGATACAGCATTGTACAGTATGTCACTCAATGTCAGGACTCTGTGGGCCACACAGATAGTGAGATATGACAGAATTATTCAAGCAACAGAGCCTACTATAACAAATGTTCCTACCTTGTCAGAAAAGTCTGTCTGATGCTTGCAAAGCATCATATCAAAAATTATTATAATGACTTGTTTTTCTTTCTTGAGCTGGAGATTTCTTACTGCAGCCTATATATCTAAATTTCTTTACTAGAGACCCTATGTAATGCGATCCAGTACACCTACAAATGAGATTCTACAGGCTTTTTACACCACCAATATCAACTACCCCTCATCGTGGTCGGCAGAGATCAAATCCCTCTTGAGAAAGGTAAGGCAACCGAATTAGAATTACAGTTAGGTGTAAGGTATTGTCAGCAGCTGTAAAGCAGAAAATAGAAAGTAGCCTGTCATCATCACTTCATCAAACAAGTGAAATGAAGTACATGAGGTAGGTTCTCTATATCATCAGTGATGTGAAGATGTCATTCAATAGAGAAAAGAGTTTGTTCTTTGCCCCCCCAAGAGTAGCATTGCCATGAACTTGGCTGTTAGTTTTCTTAAGTAAGACATTCTATTTTTTATTAAGTGGAGTGTTGTAGCCACTTGCACTTTACAGTACATTTGCAGTTTCTAATGTCTGACCATTTGCCATATTGTCTTCTTCAGTTGCTTTGCATCGAGCCAGAGGATCGAATTTCATGTTTGTCCCAGCTGCAGGATGTCCCTTACTTGTTGGATGTGAATTGGGATGCAGTTCTGCAGAAACAGCTACCTCCAGGGTTCATTCCCAATGCAAGTTTAACTTATTATTATCTTTATTTTTTAACCCATGTCTCTAGCTAAATTAGCTGGAAATTCAAGAATCTCTAGGATTTCTTTGATAAACACTATTGAGATCAGTCACTATTCACAAAGTATGTATCAAGGTGGGCTTTCATAATTATTTATTATTAAATTATAATTACCACTGATTTACTGCTATGGACAATAATTACAGTTCATTACAGCAATTCTAGCAGTTCTGTGTGTTTTTTTAACTTGTTCTTTTTTTCTACCACAGAAACGGAGACTGAACTGTGACCCGACATTTGAACTGGAGGAAATGATTCTGGAGTCCAAACCTCTCCACAAGAAAAAGAAAAGACTGGCTAGAAAACTGAAAGAAAACAATAAGGATAACTCCCCTCAGGTTAGACTAAATCACGGATATTACAGTGGCTGTGAAAACCTATTTGTATTAAACTGAAGTCAGAGATACTTAAAAGCATAAAGGACTTCAAACATATGCTGTTGTCTATGCTGATTTCCCATTAGACCTTAATGTAGTTCAGAATGAAAGAAGATCATATTATATATCTACATTCAGGACTTAGAGAAAGTGTCGAATCATTCTACTCTTTTTCATCCAATAATCATAAATTACTCTTGTCTGGTAGATTTTTTTGTGCCAGCAAAGCAGCAAAGGCTAATTTAATATCATACTAAGAGAAGATGATCAGCATTAAACACATTATTTTATTAATTCTTGTATTAATGGAGAGGGTCAGAGAAGCTGGCATCAGTGGTTTAATTAAAGTAGTTTTCAGTTTTGGTCATTTGTCAAATGCCTCATGCTTGCTTGTGTCTGTTCAACTGACATGTATTGATAAGGAGACACTTTACTCCTTTGCTGTGTCTTTCCAACCTTCATGCTGTTTCAGTAGCCCCAGTCCTTTGTGTATAGACTTACAGTATTACACATGCAATTGATGATGCTCTTACAGAAGTGCAGAAAAGGGTGAAGTTTGTATGGTCTTGAAGCTACAGGTATCATATACCTAACTCAGAATGCAGTTCTGAGTTTTGTAGTACTGTACATGATCTTCCAAATAACTTAAATAGTATAGGTAGCATGGATTTATATTGTTGATTGATTTGGTGTTTAGTTCTCTGTTTTGTAGATTACTTTAAAAATCACTTTAGGGAGTAGTGGAATAATTATACTACAGGCTGTTCCCAAAATGATCAAAATTGTATATTCAACATTGTTTGACAGAATCTATGAAAAACTAAAATTAACTGGTTTTAAATGTCTGCTAGTTTTAAGTATTGTAACTAAACAATGTGCATAACTTGGTATGACTCTCTTAGCCATTAGGACCATGATAACAAGGAATTACAAGGCTTTTCATGGTGTACACTATAGTGTCCCCTAGTGGTTATAGTTTGCATACAAGCACCTTTCCTGTATCATAAAATAGTGCCTTTAAAATATGTGTATGCAGTTGTCAATACCACATTCAGTTTATTATTTTATTTAACTTAAATAAGTACAGTGCTTTAATGAGTATCAGTAAATAAAACTGTGCACACCATACTGAGCACTATCCATCAATGTTTTTTTTGAATTGGTACAATTTTCTAATAGCAACTTAGAAATATATTGAAGAATGGCACACACTGAATGGTAATGTGAACAGAAAAGCATTTCATAACACTTGCTGTGAATTTCAAACCTCTGCAACTAAAAAGTAATTTACACAATTCATTGAGATTCTATAATCTAATTATTGTCTAATGCTGTGGCTTGATGCAGCTACAGTAGATCTGAAAAGCCACAGAGCTATAGCTGTAAAAAGGAAAGTGTTTAGTGACTAAGTAGAAATCTTGGCAAATTAAACCAGTTAAGGCAATGATTGATCTGATTAAGTAATTAAAAGGTTAAATGGATAAAAAAACAATAAGATCCTGTATTTCTTCATGATGTTCATTACTAATCTTGCATTCAACAGTATGAACTTATGGAGAACATTGTGTCAGTCTTCTCTCAATTTACTGATATGGTGAAGGACTCAAAGAATCACATTTATGAGAACAACTGCAAACTAATATCTTTGAGAATTAACAACGTATTGTGCAATTTGTTTCCTTTTTCTATTTGCTCCATCTGCTTGAATGGTCCAAGCAACAAACTTTAACTTTTTTCTTTTCATAATTAGCATTTCTGATAAAAAAAAACTTTAAATACATTGAGCTCTACTTTAAAACACAAGTGGCTGCTTATCACTGTACTGTACTGAGGATATAGTGATCAACTACAGTATATGCCACATGTACAGTAAGATTACTTGTGCCAGATGACAATTTTGTAAATTAAATAAAACCATACAGAATATACAGATTAACACGAGTGATTTATTTAGGTATTAGAGGTAATTTGGGACTTGTATTAAAGTCCTCTCAGGAATGCAAGGCAACAAACCTGTCATTTCCATTTGCTGAAAAATGAAACAAAAGCTTTTGTTATGCAAAGGCTCAGAAACAATTGAAGGCGCCTTGCAGGAAATTGATTTGCTTAGACTTTAATTTAAAAAACACGAAGTTGGCACAATAAGACATTTTAAGACCAGGTAGCAGAAGTACTGTAATAGAAAATGCATAATGTTCATCAGCCCTGATGAATTCGTATTGTGTTTACAACAACTGCAGTCTTTTTTGCTGGAAAATCTGAAATCTACCATCAGCAGAGATGAACGTTAAGGTGTCTACTCAGAATTGTCTTAGTCAATATAAAATGGTAAAACCAAATTTATTTTTGTTTTAAACACTAAAAGGAGCCTGCCCTATGCAGATACATACTGTAACTTGTGTGTCTATACTGTAACTAATCAGCCTGAGGACTGAAAGCCTGATTTTTCTAGAGTTCCAAGATTGTACCTTACACAGAGCAGATAACCAGAGTCTGTTCATTCAATCCCTCAAGACAACAATATTTATCTTCTTTTGTCGTATCTAAGATTTTTTACCAATACTGAGATACCCCTGGAGATATCTGCACTGCTGGCAGTAAATGTGTCACATTAACAGTGTGAAAGGCATTGATGGAAACTGCCAGATAGGAGCAGACCTAATTTTGGAGCTTGTGTCTGCAATAGATCTGGAGAGATTTGAAGTGCCACCATGAGTATAAGAAACAAAGTTTTGTTGGGCTTCCTTAAAATGATACAGAGGGAAAAAAACAACAGGGATGCAGAAATGCCCTGTGATGACCCGCTGTTATTGGAGCAATCAAAAATTTGGTTTTTCAATCTGCATTCTACCTTGAGCTTTTATATCAGGAAATTGATTAAGTTTCATCTGTAACCCTTACATTTGCCTGTAAGGTTTTGTTTGATGTCTTGTCTTTTCTCTCTGTGCCGCTAGGTGATGGCATACAGTACAGCTGCCTGGCTTCTGAAGCTATTAATTTGTACTGTATCTTTTCACCATTTGGACGGGACATTATCTGGGTGTGGATGTAGAGATTTTATTAATGTAAAATGAAATATTAACTTTAAACAAGTTCCACTATCACGTCTCTTTTTTTCAAACTGCAGAATGGACAGCTACAGCACCGTCTGGAGTGTGTTCGACGGGATTTCATTGTCTTCAACAGAGAAAAGTAAGCTTCAGCTTTGCTCATTTAAAATAAATTGTGCCCTTAATAAAAATAATGAGTAATATCAATGAGTAAAATGTTTTACTTACAAGCAACCAAAAACGTGTTTTCTTCACAATGAGGGTTGCACTTTTTAAAACCTTTTTTTAAAGCAGAGATCAAAAAGGATAAGTCTAACTTTTCTCTGGGAGAAGTGGTGAAGAAAGCTTGCCTTTGATGTACCTTATGCTTCTTGCATCACAAAACTTCTGTTCCAGCATTGTGGGATTTATATTTTGAGAGTCTGTATCAAATTTGAGCTTGCAGAGTAGCAGCTGGGATTATAAATATGATTTAGAATAAAAACAAACATCAGAGACATACAAGGGATGCATAAAATGACAAACAACAGACAAAAGTAAAAAATGAACAAGCATGGAGGAAATTCTTGAATGACAAATCTTTCTTTCTGACAAGATTTATGCCTCTCAGTGCATCCTGAATATGTAATAGCAGCCACTGATGTGTTCCTCTAATGAACTGAGTAAGATGCCAAGTGCCCTTTCTCCTGCTTCATTTATTCTCTGGAAGCTTGGCTGACCTGCTGTTACCCAGCATCCTCTGTTCTCAATGGGCAGTGTGAGGGACAAGGAATTGTTAACTCAGCGTAATGAGGTTGAGCCAAGCTATTTACAGACTCTTTCAGTTTAAGATAGGATTTCACCACCACGCAATTAAAACAGAAGTTGTAAGATTATGTTCGTTTAGACTGGGTAATAAAATGTTTGCTGAGGAATTCTAAACAAAGTGTTTCTAAAAATATTGTACATGCACAACTTATGTCATATTGTATGTGTAATTAAATCTTTTTTTTTCTCCTAAGGTTAAGGAAGGACAAGGAAGAAACAGGGATAAATGTCACCAAAGAGAAAGAAAAATATGAAGAAACAGAAGATGGCCAAAATAATAATGTACCAGTTGCTTGTATCTCAGTGTAGCCTTTTTTATCACCCCCTGTCCAGCTACAGCTCCTCAAATACTGTAGCTGTTTCTATGTGCAGACTGCATAAGCACACAGCATTGTAGAAGGACTAACTGAGCCACTGCTACAGTACTAATTATATTTGACAGATCCACACAGATTCTTAAGTGTAAATAAGTAAACCCCAGGAAAAGGCGCATTGTCCTCCTTCACACAGACGTTGCCCACTTTGCGTGGAAATTAGCTGCCTGGAAATGAGCTGCTTCAAAATAAATCAGAAGTTACAAGTAAAAGTAAAATGGCTGAACAGAGGCCTCATTTGCCATGGCAAGACTTTAGTGTACAGGTTAGTTTCAAGTGAGTGACATTTCTACAGCACCCTTTTGACAGTTCTTGGGCCCTTGAAAATTAAGATTCCAACACAAAAATAAAACTGCTTATGTTCTGAGATAGCCCTGGTATCCAGCATACCTAGAGCTGTTCAGGTTTGTTAAGGGTCACTTTCTCATTCTATCACATGAATAAATAGAGCAGTGAATTTGGTGAAGAACAGCAGCACCAGTACAGTAATTGTGTAATTGTTGTTACTGAATTGCAATAATACATAACAAATGGATGAAACCTGATTATTCAGCTCAGGAATGATAAACCTTTTTTTAAAATAAAATATTTCTGCACTAGTTACAGGTCCCTATTCAGCTGAGTTCAGTTTTAGCTCTGTGTAAAGCTCAGACATTGCTAAACCACAAGCACCTGTTGAGTTTTGTGTTTCTCATAAACATACTTCATAGGATGTAAATGATTTCTGTGTTTACAGTAGAAGAGCAATAACAGCTTTGAATATTTGTATCTATCATTCACTTACTATATGTCTGTTTCACGTGATAAATTATGTATGTTTATTAAGGAAAGGCTGAACAGAATGGCGCTGATTTGAAAGATCAAGGACAAATGCACTTGTACTGTATGATGACTGTTGGCTTTATAGAGTTTGTAAATAGCTATTTGTACTTTTAATCTGCACCTTTATGAGGAAAAAAAATAAACCTGTTGCGTTTTCACTTAGTGTAAAAACCGGCATCGGTATCAGGTAAATAAAGAGGCATAGTACTACATCGGTGTTTTTAAAGTTCTTATCAAACCTTTACATTCAATGAAACTATAACACTACCACCTTGTGGTTTAAAAGAGAAACCGTGTCTCAATGACCGCTGCAGGCTTGCCAGGAGACCGAGGACAAATCAATTTCATTATGTACTAGACCCAAACAGAGGAATAAGATTTATTTGTCTTAACAAATGAAGTGATAAATTAAGACTTTTATCATATAATCCTATCTATCACAGTACAAAAAAAAATCAATAACATCTTTAAGGTTTTAATGAATTAGATATTATTTGTTAGGACCTGGCCTTTTTTTTCAGTTTCATGTTCATATTCCACTAGCTAAGATAAAAAAAAACTTTCTCTATATGAAATGGGAAATATACTGTACAGTGAATAAAGCAGGTTACTGTCAGATTACTTGAAATATAAACTGTATCAATCTCTTCTTTATGGTCCATTCTGACCCCATGAGTTTTAACATAATACAAAAATGTGATTCTGAATTTCAAATTCTAGTTTTCTTTATCTTCTTTTTCCTTCAAGGCATTTACTTTCAATTTAGAACTCCAGTTAAACTGTCAAGCCATCAGTTATGTCAGTATTTACTATAAAAAGCAAAGTTTTACAATGGATTAACAGTCTAATTTTAGAGACTAAATATGCACATACAATTAATATCCTTTGTCTCATGAGGACCTTTTCAATGAAGTCACGTGGAAATCTCAACCTTTATTTCACAATAACTTCAAGTAAGTAGACTACAATTGGTGAAAATAAGGTGGGGTTTAAAAAAATAAGGAGATTGAATGTCTCAGTAAACAAATGGCCTTTCTAAATTTAGCACTTTAATCATAGAAATCAATGATGCAGTCAGAACAAGTCATTTTGAAAACAGGAAACAGGGTTAGTTTTTGTTTCACTAACTAAAAAGGTAGATTAGCACACAGTATTTGCCACTATTTCTTTGTTAAAAGTAAGAGCTGGGGAGAGTAAGTTAACTTCAGGTAACTTGCACTAACCCCTTGATAAGTGCAAAAATAACAGTAAAAACTAAAAACATTTTTGGGACCATTCCTCAGTTTTTTTATATTGAATTCAGTATTCTGGGTAGATTGATGTAGGCACTGTCAGGCCCTGTAAACCTAGAGAATGCTCTACTTCTGTCCTGTTCCTAGTTTCCTGTGATTATTCATGTCTTTCTGGTGTGTCTTGTTGTGTAGCCTATTTACTTCCTGTGTCTGCTCTGCTCCTGGCTCAACATTGAGGGTACGGATGTCCTGAGACCCGCCTACCACCAGGTCACCCCACGTCCATGGCCTGAGTGCATAAGTTTCTATACCGACATTGTCTGACCCCCTGCACCTGGGCTAACCTCTGTGTTGCCCCCTTTACCGCTATGCATAGGGTCTCTACTGCTCTCCTGGCCATTCCACGGCAATGCCCTTTCCGTCATCCGTAACAGGCACAAGATATTCAAAAAAGACAATTATAATATGAGACACTGAAACAAAAGCTTAGTGTTATAAATATGTCATGTCATGTCATTTGCCAAACAGCTTTATACCATACGGTGTTGCAGGAAGCCGGAGCCTACCCAGCAAGCAACGAGCACAAGGCAGGGTACAGCCTGGACGGGGCACCAGTCCATCGCAGGGCAAGTGCAAGCCAATCACACATGGGATGTTATAAATATAATACCTAAAAATCATTAGTCTTTTTTTATATGTACTGCATATCATATGCACTCATTTAGCTTTGGTGTATATTCACTTATTCATTCTTTCTTTTGGGGGACATTGTTCATACTGGGGACGGCATGACAGGCTTTGGTGGTTAGTGCTGCTACCGCCACACTCTTGGATCCTGGGATTGATTCTGAACTGAAGTATCTTCTGGCAAAGTTAGCATTTTCTCCCCCCAACAATGTGGCCTATCATTGGCTTCTTTCCACCTTCCAAAGGGAGTCAGTTTAGGTTAACTGTAGTCTCCAAACTCCACTTGTCGTCTGCTCAATGATGGACTAGTGTCCCACCTAGGGTGTTGCCCTGTCTTTTGCCCCGTGCTTCTGGAATAGGCTCTGGATTGCTGAGATCCTTAAAAATATGAAAAAGTGACTATCTGACAATGAATGATGTTTGGAAAGCAATTTTCTTTACTGTTGAAAGGTTAATCCCAGGTACACTTGGTAGTTTTCAGTAGCCTTTCCAAAGCCTGATCAATGAGAGAATGAGGTGTTCCTTTAGAAAGTCAGGGGATACTGCTTCAATAGATTGGTTGGCTGACGGTAAGATATTGCAGTCCTGGCATTTAAAATAAAGCTGCTTAAGAACTCTTTAAAGGAGGTAAATTGATTGCAATTGCAATTGATTTACACTTCAGTCCTGCCAAAACTCTACTTGATTAGATACAGCAGTAAATGTGTTAAACGATTAAGCAGTTTTGATTAAAGACATTACTGTGTCATAAAATATTACACGTATAATGAACAGTGAAAACAAAACAACTAGCACAGCAAATGGACACTCGAACTCAAGGAACAGCTTCGCTTGCAACTCCTCCTGTCTTTTATTATAATACAGCTAGAGGTATTCTAAATATCAGTAGCCAATGGCAAAAAGTCCATCCATCTCTGCATTGTCTAATCACTTCTTAAAATTCAGTGTTGCAGCGAACTGTAGCCCATCCTGGCAAGCAACAGGCATAAGGCAGGGACACCAGTCCATCACTTGGTAGACACTTATACTCACACCTAGGGCCCATTCTCCCAGAAGACAGTTAACTTATCAGTATACTTTTGGACTGTGGGAGGAAGCCAGAATATCCAGGGGAAACCCATGTGAACATCGGGAGAACATACAAACTCACAGATAGCATCCCTGGTGTGGAATTGAACCTACACCCCCAGTGCTATGAGGCAGCAATACTAACCACGGCACCACCATTGCAAACAGTCCTTCAATGGACACATTGAATTCAAATCCTTAGTGGGAAATGACCCTGTAGTAAATAGGCCAGACATTCAATACTTAATGTGGTTTTTGCTCCCACCCCTGAACGTCCTCTCTGTTGTACTGGAGGTCATTCACACAATCACTTCATTAACAAGTCGTTCTGTGACAAGGCTGGTTGGGCTAAAGCATCACATCTGCAAAGGACCTAATAAGAAGGTCAGGTATTTGATCCTTCAAATACCTTCTTGAATGATTATCTGGATCTCCTCCCATTTTCTGACCGTGAGTTTCCTATCACACAGCAAACAGTGTCCTGCTGGTAGAACATCAGCAAGTTATGAGCTTTTTTACACTCTACAATAGCTTTACAGTTCAGTGATTTAATGGATTACATTTTCAGAAAATCCATACTTCACCTACAGTATATGGGGCTTCAATAGCTGGCTGAGGCAGCAGCACTTTCCTTCACACAAAGCTAATTGGAAATGGCTCTGGTGTTAGAGTAGGTGCTTTATGCTGGAAACGGCAAGAATCAGTCAAACTAGAGCATCACATTAAAAGATTAACGGGCTATTTTAGTGAAATAAATATAGCTGCAACTATATTTTATTCTTATATTTTACTTTTACTTTTTTCCTTAGTGTCCTGAGTGGTTCTGTCCGAAACTGCATCATAGAAACTTGTACTGTAGGTTTCAGAGCACAAATATTTGCACTATTGAATTAACATGTCTCAGTTGCCGATCTTCCTCACAAATATCAATTAAAAATAAAAATGTCAAAAGAAAAGATAGGTTAGAACACACTGCAAATAATCCATCAATCCATTTTCTAACTTCTTTACCGAGTACAGGGTCACAGGGGAGCCAGAATCTATTCCAGCATGCAACGATAGCAAGGCTCATACAATAATATACTAATAATATCCTTACACTTAAACAGTGCTTTTCTGGACACTCAAAGTGCTTTACAGGCAGTGGGGACACCAATCCACAAGTGTGTAGTCCCACCTGGATGATGGGATAGCAGGATACACCCTTAACAGGATGCAAATACTATACATAATATGCAGCACAATATAAACAATAGTATCCTTACTCTTGTATGGTGCTTTTGTGGATACTCCACTCGAAGACCTTTACAGGTAATGGGGATTCCCTTCCACCACCACCTGTGTAGCACTCACCTGGATGATGTGATGGCAGCCAAAGTGTAAGAACACTCACCACACAACAGCTATCAGCAGGGAGGAAAGCAGATTGATGAGGCCAGTTCACAGATGGGGATTATCAGGATTGGTAAACACCAGTGGGAAATTTGGCCAGGACATCAGGGTAACACCACTATGCTTTTTGAGAAATGTCCAGGGATTTTAATGACCACAGAGAGTCAGGACCTCGGTTTTACGTTTCATGTGAAGGATAGCACCTTTTTTACAGTGTCCCTATCACTATACTGGGACACTGGGACCATACAGCCCGCAGAGTGAGTACCACAAACACCTCTTCCAGCAGTAACCTTTGCTTTCCCAGGAGGTACCCATTCAAGTACTGGCCAAAGTCACACCTGCTTAGCTTCAGTGGGTTGCCAGTTGTGTGTTGCAGGGTGATATAACTGCTGATACATATGTTACTCCAAAAGAAAAACTGCAAAGTTTGACACCGGAAGACTAGGTCACTTGGTACACTTGGATATTGATCAGGATAACTAACAATTATGGTTCACAAGAATGTACACCATTTTCTTTACCAACTCAGTTATGCACTGCACACGTTTACCACATAACCTACACCCCACACCTTATTTTCTGCATTGTCACACTGCCTAAATGCTTCTAACGTTCAGCCGTTTCACAAGTAACACCAGTACATTCCAGAAATAAAGAAGACTAACTGACAGATTGCAACTGATGTTTATTCGGGAAAAATTCATACAACCACAGAACATTTCAGTGATTTAGTACCTGCTTGTTTTAGGAACTTGACACAAAAGAAAAAGAAAAATAATACCAAAAGTTGTGATGAACATAAATATAACAAACACGTTCATGGTCCATTGTCTTTTTTCATGTTACTCATTATATTGACTTAGCTTTTGTGGGCTTCCAATATGGGTATGACAAATGCGATCCATGCCAATCTTTTAGCAGCCATTTTGTTTTCTTTCTGTTGGCTGAACAATACTGAATACAAGATGTTTGCTAAGTTTTCTGCAACAGTTAATATAATTGATATCCTTTGTCACATAACTTATGAGTTCTGCTGTTAATTGTGTGATTTGTTTAGTTTCTATGAAATGTTAGACTGTCAGTTCAGGTAACTCTTTCCCTGCTTCAGGACTCCTTGTCTTCTTGTCTTTAGCTTGCCACTTAAGCACATTTCAGTTGATTTTGTGTCATTAAAGGGTTCTAAGCTAAAGCAGGTGAAAAGCCGTGGTTTGATTCAAAGGCTCATATGATATACTGTACTACCTACCCACATAAACTAAGTTTTTGCACTACACTCTTTTTAAAAATGTTTTTTTAAGCCTTAAGATAAACAAGGAAACAAGGAGAGGTCAAAAACAAAGGTGGTGATCACAAACAATGATGAATTACCTGTAATTAAAAAGCAGGTTACCAATTTAATTTCTGTTGCATACTTAAAGTTCCTAAAAAGACTCATGCAGGAAACCATCTGACTAATGGCAAGTAAAGCAATATAATTGTTTTGAAATGATGACTTTCACTTTCTGGATTATTTGACAAGGCATTAAAGTGAATAGTAATAAGTAATTGCAGAAGACCAATGCCTAGAGTAAAGAACAACAAATTAGCAAGTAATAAGCATTTGAAAAAAGAAACCCCTTTTTAGAGATGCATTCTTGCATGTTTACAAAATTTTATACCACATACATTGTTTTATTTTTTAAATTTATTAAGCTATCAAATATTCCTGGTTCATTAACCCAAGGATATAGCAACCACAGGATTTACAAAGCTACATTACATCTATCAGACTCACAGCGCCACCTATCTAGTGTTGATGATAAAGCATGTTAAAAATGCTATAATCTATTGCAAACTAGGGAATTAAAAATGTGACATCGAAAGCTTAATATAGAAAAAAGGATACAAAGCAACATTCTTAAATATGCAGCATTCCTTTTAATAGAAAGCAACTGTTCAGACAACATGAAAACACTGCAGTTACTAATGAATGTTATTTCTTATTAGATAACCCTATCACAGTGAGTAGCAAATGACTATAATGAATCATTTTCCTTCAAAGCACCAGTGAAAATATCATCTAATCCTGGATTTCACTAGAGTTTTAAACCAACAAACATAGGGGAAATACAATTTTCCACAACTGGGCAATTTTGTTTTCATTATGATATAAAAGACAAAGCCAGCTCTTAAAAAGGACTAAAATAATTATAAATTTGGTTGCAGTTTTGGGTCAATTTTTTTCCCATTTTAAGGCATGCCCCAGCCCTCTCTCTTTCCTTCTCTGTTCCTTTATATTAGTAAACATCCACCTATTTGCATGAAACTATTAAACAATAAATAAAGAATATGCAGGATAATGAGAAAATGATTCAGCAAATGAAAACTGAATTCAGGAAATGCAAGTACACTTGTATAAGGTTAAACTTTAAAGTCTAGGGTGTACCACAAAAAACATTCGCACTACAGAAAATGTAAGGTTAAGGTGACCCATATTTTTGAGAAAGGGCAGTTGCAGTACATCTTCAAATCTGCCATCTACTGGTCTGATTTTGTAATAATTGCCTATGCCTCTTGTCATAACTTTTTAAATCCTAAATATGTCCTACCTACAGTACCCATATCATTGCAGTTGAATAATTTTCTTGCGAGACTTACAACAGATGATTTCCATAGTCAAAAAAGGCTACAACTTTAGCTTGAAATGCAATCATATGTGTCACTGTAAATGTTTACAGTTTCCACAAGTATTTCCATCATCAGGCTGGGCTTTCTAAAAAAAAGGAATACTGCACTCTTAAAGCTATAGCAGGTAGCATTCGTGATTGGTAAGGCATGAGGCTTCTGTGTCTTGTTCAACTTAAACCAATCATGTTTCCTTCCCAAACAGCTGTTTTAATGCTTTAGCTCAGAGATGTAATATTGGAGCGTCCGCCAGGTGGCACTACAATACGCCGGCCTGCAGGTCGGATTGGCGTTTCTTCTGCTGGGATACCTGTAGAAAAGGCACACTGGGTAAGAAAAACTGCTACAAATAAAAACTGACCTTATGGTATAATGGAATTCATTGCTCTTTGCATGTACAGTACTGCACCAGTTCAGTAGATTTGTTTCAGCAGAGAGAGGGCTTAATCTTTTAAAACACTCTTTTTAAAAGGCTTTTTCTGCCTTAAGTTCCATAAAACAAGGTAATAGAGCAAATACAAAGATGATCATCACAAACAATGATGGATACCTTTAATTAAAATGAGAGTTAGTAATTACATTTCTGTTGCATAAATTCTGTTCTGTTGCTGCTCAAATTAAATTATTTAGGGATCTAAAAGCTAAACAACTCAAACAAGAAGGCAGCCTGAAACTTCACAAGTCAGAGATAGTCATCTTATATTCGCAAAACACTTTCATGCATATTGTTACACTGGGAAATTGCTAACAGGTCATTCATGGTGCTACCGCACCACAAGAATGTTAAATGTAACAGGATTATTACATTTCAAATTATGTTTCATGTGGATACTCAGAAATGTTGGAAATATTTTATTTTCAAATAGGTCAGGTTGACTCATAATCCTACATATTGCATCAAGAAAGCAACGCTTTTTTTTAGTAATGGAAATATATAGGTTTAAACGGGGGTGCACCAAAACATGTTTCACTACACCAAATAAGTCTTACACCATTAAAGAGTTAGTGTATGTGAGATGAAGCACTCTATCCATTTTTGCTTCAGGATAAATTAAACATTTTTATTCCAAAGACATTCTAGGTAATACTACTGTGTTTTAAATGCAGTTGCCATTCTTGCACACTATACTGCACTTAACAGCAGTGTTTTAGCTACAGTAAGATACTGTATGTCCAATAGCTAAAAAAGAGTATCTTTGCACTAATATAATACAGGATCTTAGACTTTAGATGAAGAGCACAATTGCTTTGCTCTTCTTGTCTCCTTGTTCTGTAAAACCACTACAAACCCTACACCTACAATACTGTGGCTACAGTATAATAATACCAATTACTTTAAATCTCTGAAGATCAAAGGTTTGGCCTAACTACAAAACATTGTATTATTCTGCTGGTTTGATCAAATTGATCTGGCAGAAGCATCTAGGTCTTAAGAATATCGAGATGACAAAGATGACAAAACCGCTATACAATTCTACGTTGACAGCCTTGAATTAATAGAATTGTCTGTGGTCTTGCACAAACATTCACAGTATTAATACCATGTTCTTAGAATATCTGAGGTTCTCTGTAAAAAAAAGAACCCTGATGATGTTTCAGGGCCTTTGTGTACCAGACTTTTATCACTTCAAACATCCAATACCTTAACAGACTGAAATAGAACTGCCTGTATAATGAATCAAAGCATTAAACAGGAAAAATTAATAATTGTAAAAAGACAGCTGTCAGGATGTTTCAGGACTAGATCCCATTGAAAAACACTGCCAGTTAACTATACTTTACTAGAAGTGAAAGGACAATTCTTACAACCTAAAACATTCTTACATAAAGTTAAAAATATTTTTAAAAGATACTCAGTTTAGAAGAGGACTACACTACACAGAAGTCAAATAAACAAGTTTATGTATCAAACCTATTTTTAATGGGGAGTCATTGTGTCCTGAAAGTATTTCGATCAGTGGCTTCTTGCCAAAGCCAGGCTGAGGGAAGCTCACCCTGGGCTGCAGGGATACCTGCTAGACTGAATCCAGACTGATGGAGGTTCCTGACAGGGGGTGCTTGCTTGGTGGGGGAGGTCCTGGCAGATGCAGCCGGGGTGCCTCCTCGGGACATAGGGGAGAAGTCCGACACCGGCCCATCGTACATGCCCCTGGGCACTGCCTTTAGCACTGCCAGCTGCAAGACACAGGAAAAATACGTCATTTTCTGCAAGGAACACTTGACAAGGTAACCCACACATCATGGGCAGATTAATACGATTCTGAAAGCCTGAAACAATAAAGAACTACTCCTCAGACTCACATTTATTTTAATAGGTAATCTCATTTATATCCCTGCTGCAAAATATGCACGTCTGAGGATTTTCGTCTTCCAATAGTACACATTATATTTACAAAACGTATATTTTGCCCACTATGTTCTTAGGAAAGCATTTGGTAAGGTTTGCCTAAGGACATAAGGCTATGAGTGCCCCTTCAACACAGGGCTTAAAATCAACATGTTACTACATTCTAGGGCCCTGCTTCTCTCCTTATCTGTGGTCATATGAAACAGGAATCTTTGTGAGCCTGATGAGTGTCAGCAAGACAAAACTCCAATTAAAATAAATACAAGAACACCATGGGCTATTTTGTCTCCAAAGAAAAAATGCCTTAAGCTGATTTGCATTGTTTATTTCTCTGGTTTATTCTCCCTCTGAATCTGAGAGGCCTATCTAAACCTAATCCAGGCTTTGCCCTTTGAGCAGAAATACAGTATAACCAGGCTGAGGTGGATAACTGATAACTGATAACTGATAACTCTTGGATTTTAATCCCCTTCAAACAAGTCAAGGTTGTGTACTCAAATAAACTTTTTTTTGCCTAAATTAGCTCCAAGATTAAAGTAAAAAATTGATAAAATAATCACAAGCTAAAAGCCCAAAACTTACTGTACTTAATAATAGCCTTTTTTTTCTTTATGAATTTTTGTTTCTACTCAAGTATTCAACATCAAGTAATGGGACAGTAATTTGTAGTGGAAGGTGAGCTGAAGATTTATTTTAATCTGGGCATCAGCCTTGATGTGTACCCTTACTGTATACACTGTACACTCTAAGGGAAGATCTTTCAATGACATTCCAAATAAATTCCACTCTACTAAAACAGAACTAACCTTGAGTGTGTGTTATCTCCTATCAGATATTCATTAGACTGTTTTGAGATTACCAAGAATTAAACTAGGTGTTCATGATATCAGAGGGAGGAAAATTGTGGAGCAATGAATATACATACAGTGCAATACTGCAGACAGATTTTGAGCAGTGATTCATTTCCCAGATGCAGAGGAGTGTCTAAGAAAAGAGATTCACATCTGCACAACAGTGAAGAGAAATATTATCGTTCAAACTCTCGTGACATAAATCAGTTTTAGGAAGAGTTATTTTAAACCCAAGTAGATCTTTTGGCAATGTCTAAAGCTGTGTTACTCAGTCAGTTAGTGCTGTGTATAACTCTGGCTAGCCAAATTCAAAACGTCACAGAGTCAGCCACAGTTAAGTTAACTCCCTATTTTTCCGATAAAAATTACCCACAAATTAACAAATGAATTAAAAACAGTCGTATATAATCAACATAATTTACCGTATTTCAGTGCAGGAAGTCCTGGATTTAATTATCCCACAGTATATCTTTGGTTAATGGCATGTTTGGCTTTGTGTAGGAACACAAATAAATTACTGTAGTTTATAGTGGTTTCCATCCAGGCTATTTGAGGTCGAGTCTCTACCAAATGACACCAACATAAATCTGTTGTGCAGGGAGGGTACCATGGCTATACACGCTCAATGCAATCCCAGCTTTTACTGCCTAACCACCATTAATTGCCTCCAAGAATGATGAGTTCCATCTGAATGTACCCTCACTGAACCAATCATAGACACTGTGCTCTAAAAAGCCTCTCCTTAACCATCAACAGACATCCATTTCTTCAGTGATGGTTTCTTTCCCAAGTTTAACTCTACAGATTGAACTTGAGCATACAGTATTTGCCCTCAGCAAGCACCACATCCAATAACAGGTATTATGCTGTGAAAGCCATTATCAAAATTTTTAAAACAAGGTTGTTGTTATTTTCCCATTGTATAGGCCTTTAATCCATTTTAGGAATTTCCACAAATGAGCAGAGTACATATGTGCTCTACGGTATCAATTTTTCCTTCTTAAATATTTCAAGGGTCTTCTGGAAAAAGAAACAAAGGCAATTGTTTAAAATGAAATGGAACAGCTGTCACACTGTCTTCACACAACTATGCGAATCAAATGAATTCATCTCAAGATAATGGGCCCAATGACTACAAAACCTTCATTGTATCAGAGGCTTTGCTGTGACCAAACTGCTCTGTGCAGTTGTAAGGACCCTGTTCCACCCAGACCTGTGGTCCTGTCCATTCTCACCTGTTTCCTGGCTTTCACTCGCTTGTAAGTGAAGTCGGGGAAGGGAGAGCAAGGAATAAAGTGCCCACTTCCTGCAGTGGCATGCAAATTCCCATCTTCCAGCACAATCTTCCCCTGGCAAATCACCACCAGCGGAGCTCCACGTAGCTCCATCCCCTCAAACACATTGTACTCGGCTGCCTGCGATGGAAAGAGATAAGAGCAGCCTTACAGCACCAGATATACAGTACCATCACCATCGTCTCTATCCAACTGCAAGGGTAATTCTTTCTGGACACTGACCGTATTAGTACTGTAAATAAGCGTGACGACTGAAAAAAGAAACAAAGAAACCATATGCTTCTTTGGATTTCTAACTTGTGCTGGTCAGCAGGATTTTAGCTGAAGTTCAACAGTTCTAAATCAAACAACTTTAGGGAAGGAGCACTTCTAAGTACAAAAAAATACAGATGTTCTGTTTTGGCTGCCAGTGCCCACAGCTGACATGAACCTAAAGCTGCATACGCATGCAAAGAAACAAAGATTTATTTAAAATAAAATGGACTTCCGTCACATTGTCTTCACACAAATACAGTATGTGAATCACATGCAAGAATCTGAAAGGACTGGGCCCAACAACTACAAAGCCTTCACTGTATTGCTATAAATGAAGGCATGTCTGTCCGGCTGGACCATTTTCCATCCTGACCTGTGGTCTTGTCAGTTCTAACCTGTTTTTTTTGCATTTTACAAAGTATCACAGATACTGTATACTGCATAGGATCAAGCGGAGACCAATTCCACTAGAAAGCAAAAACCAAGAGCCATCTTCAGGTGTGTTATTAATCTGCTCATGTCTGTAGTTCCCCATTTAAGCCACTCACACCTGAAGAAGATACCACAACTAATATAATGTGTTTTTCTTTTCAGAATGGAATTAACTCTACTTGTTCTTTTGCAGCTTCTCATTCAAACACCATGGAAGAGATATAGATATGGTACATAACACAGATGGCAAAACCACAAACTTTTTTACCTTAAAAGTTTGGAATCACCAGTCATTTTTTACATCCCACAATCTGCAAAATCAGTCATCAATAAGCTCTATTTATTAAGAATATAATGCTTGTACCAGCTAGGGAGGGAAGGAGATAACGTCCACAGCTTCCTCCAAACATTGCTAAAACCTCCGAAATGACCGGAGAACTGATGCAGCTGTTGCTGCTGAATGCTACAACCTCATGAGGGTTGCAGAACATTGCTGAAGCATGCTGAAGATATGACAACTAACTCAAGCAACTTGACCGGCTATGAACTGTGCATAGCTCCAACAATGGCTCGATGTACTGTACACCTCCAGAGCCCCCAGATGTGTTCCTTAAAACAACAGGGAGGGTGCCTTAGGAAAGACAAACAAAGGCTTTATGTTGCTCGATTTGGTCATATGATAATGTCTGGATAAGGTAAAGCTGTTAACAATCATAATTTTTAAAATGATTTTTGTGCAAAAAAAAATCCAAAATAACTGAATCATAATGATTATTACAATGGAATTTACCGCTTACGGTTTTCAGTTGATAATGATGTATGGATTAATTAAAATATTGGAAATCATCAGAGTCCTAGGAGTCATGGGATTACGTGGTGGAAAACAAGAGTAGGAGAGAACAGGAGGCAGCTTGTAGCTCGGGACAGCAGTTAAGGATTAAGACTGGAATGGAAGATCTGCTGTATTGCTCCAGTAAATGACCAACCGCTCTGCTGTATAACGGGTCTCCAGGTCATCGCTACAAATGAGAAGTTCTTCTCAACTGAATTACATGTTGAAATAAAGGAATAAAAAAGAAAGTGAGTGAAAAGATAAATGAACTCTGCACATTTTAAATGGATCTGCCCCCTCTGGCTTGGATTTAATGTTCATCTGTTTGGCAATTCAAAGACAAACAGCTGCAGTCTCAAAGCTGGAGCACATCTCTAAGGAATATGCACACTTTTCAGATAGCCAACAGCAAGCAATTATATCCCACTACTGCTTTCCTATCTAGGTCGTTGCAATAAATTACATTGCTCAAAACCAAGTCCAGAAAATATTATGAGACTTCTGCCAAACATGATGTCACTGTCAAAGCACTTGGTTACAATGCATGTACATGTATGCATATGTGGCATATAAAGTAACATGCACTTTCACATTGGGAAACATTTGCTTTCTCTAAAAGCTTTTTTTAAAGCAGATTTCTGAAAGTGGAGGAATAATGCTTCAAATGGCCCTAATGATTGACCTTGACCCTAAAATACACTCACATAGCACATACACACGGTCATTGTACTTTCTCTTGAAGACTGCAATGGTGTCTGTAGGGGGTCAAACGTTTCAGTGAGAGGAAATGAAAAGGTGACATCATTAAGTAAAATCCCTCACATTTTTAGATTTCCACATAAGGAAAAGCCATTGAATCCCTCCCTCCCTTATTTAGAGATATTCAGGAAATACAATGAGCCACACAAGCCTCGGTTTCCTGTGCTAATGTGTCCCAAGTTTTCCCTGTGTACTCAGATCCCCCATGTAAGTTATGAGTAGCTTCCTCTAAGTCAAACAGAATTGAAGCTAATTCCTCTCTGTGGCCACAGCACTGATTTTCAAATCTCAGTGTCCGTGCCTTTCCAAAACCACTTTAGAGGTACAGTTTAAAAGGCTGGCTAAGTGAATCTGGGGTAAAATTAGTCAAAGTCAGTCACAAAGTAACACATGCTTTTGTGCTTTTTTTATAAAAATATATAATTTTATAGAAAACACTTATTGTTTGTAATTTGTTTACTTCAAAATAACACTGATATGGATTACCATTTGCCAAGTTTGGAAATATAGATCTTATCAATATATTCTCCAGAATTAAACAGATTTAAAGTTCAGATTTTAAGGATGTATCAGACTGAATGCTCCTGAAATGTAGCCTCCCGGTTAAAATAACACTGTAGAAAAAAGAATGTCCAATTGAATTGCATTCCATTTGTGGTCACACAGAGTGAAGTCATTCCATTTTGCACCCCAAAAAAAAACATTGTGCTATTTAATGCAAATACCTAAAGGGAATTCATTTCACTTGAGAACGTAGAGTTCAGTTGTTCATATCAGAGTTGTTCACAGTCACTATTTAAGTGCTCTGTGCTGCAAGCTGAAAGATTTAAGTGTTGGAATGGAACAATGGGAACTGTGGGATTTCAAAACACTCAGAACATGATTATTGTACCGCCACCTGCAGTGATTACTCCAACCTCAGACTCTTACCGAGTTGTGTGTTTTCGCTGTAACGGTCCTTACAGCATCAGAATCCCAGATAACCAGGTCGCTGTCTGAGCCCACTGCTATTTTTCCTTTTCTAGGGTACAGGTTAAGGATCTTGGCAGCATTGGTGCTTGTTACAGCAACAAACATGTTTTCATCCATTTTGCCAGTGACCTGAGAAAGGAATAAGCGTATTACTTTTCATAATCTGACGTTTTTCTTTCTTGTTGAACAGTGCACTGTGTTACAGAACATTTTAATGTTTAAGTGTTCATGTATGAAGTTGCACACTGAATTTGCACATTGTGTTTAGTCACATCCAAAGCACACGCCATCATTACAACATGAGACCAAAAAATAAAGTAAATATTCAGATTTATTTTAGTTATGAATCAGTCCTTAACAGTCCAATATGCAAACTCTTTCTGTTATAATTTGATCAACAGAATCACTGGCATTTCCTTTAGTCAGCTGAAATGGAAGGAAAAATAGAGGGCTCATTTTTGGAAGCTGTCACTTACCACAGCCTTATCCCAGATGATTGCCATTCTTTCCTCGACACCATTGACACCTTCAGGTATCTGCGTGAAATCGTCCTTTCCAATCGCCTTCTGAGCTGTGCTGAAGGTGCAGTGGGCGCTTCCTGTCACATTTAGGTCTCCACTGAATGAACAAAAAGGAGGGCTTTAGAAATGCCATGGCAACAATAAATGCTTTGGCGTTTTGTATCAGCAGAAATGAACCGTAAACATATCTAAACTCAGATGAGACACATTAAAAACCGTGCAAGAATAGTTTCATAACTGGCATGTCAGCACCCAAACAAACATACTTCTTTTCAGCCTTTTCACACATCAGTATGACCACTGTCTGGGCCTGGTAGGTTTATCGCCTGGTACATTTCCAACCACAGTAGGTTTTATGCAGCATGTTCATCTTAATGTCTCCCTGTGCCTTATGCAACTCAAATGTTGGCAAGATAATTTTGTGAAGTATCTTCATCTTTCAGACTTTAGGTCACAGTCTCTAAGACATCCACAAACACAATGTGCATGACTGGTAGAGGTTAGGAACATTGTCAGAGTAATCATTACTGGTTTTCCCTTATTTAGATAGTTAATTGCAGGATTATTTTGTGAAAGAAAACCAGAACAACTATAGTAAAGCTACAACTACAAAGGGTTTTATAAACTAGATAAATGAGGGTGAACCAACTCTGCAAAATCTTTTGTCATTCAAGGTTTTCCATCTATTACCATCTTCATTCTTCTCCCTCCTCCAAAAAAACCCCCACTGTGCACTGAAGAACTAGGCAGCCAACTAAGTTTGCATCATTATTTCTTCAGCATAAGAAAATCAATATGGTACAACAGACTGGACATAAAAAAAAACTAAAAATAGTTTTAAAGATGTATCAAATGTATCTGAATGTCTGAATATGTCATGCTTGCCCTTGCTGATGAACGGATGGGCAAGCTAGAATTGACACATAAGCTGATTACATCATCATCCAATCCGTCTCCCAGCGCCAGTTGCCATGAAAACTAATTGACAGGAAACCTAGACCAAGATTTATGACCATGCCTATTTCAGGTGGTTGAGAAAATAAAAACCCGTCTCTCAGCCCTTTGAGTCTTGTTGCAGTGCTTCTTTAGGTTCGATATAATCCTGACTTCTGCTTGTATTGTACCTAGTCTCTCAGATGAACCCCTGTGCTGTGTTTTCTTGGCTTTGGGCCCTGCTTGTTATTACCACTACATCTTCTACTTTTGCCCTTTGCTTTGAACTGCATTTCATCATGTTCTATGAATTTGACCATCACTTTGCTCTGACCATACTGTACCTCCACGATTCCCCTTTGTGCTTTGAACTGTTTTATTTCACTTTTTCCAGCTTTGACTCTCAAGTCTGCTCGACCTTGATCTCAGACCCCCTAGTCTGCTTATGCAGCCCATCTGCCTGCGTGCCCTGCACCAGCAATTTTCTGAGCTGGCTGGCTACAGCACAATGCTGCCTATGTGCTCTGCACAGGTGGTGTGCAGTTCCTCTCTGTGCGCACAACCTGCACAGGTTTTCCTTGTACACACAACACTGTGCAGTTTCCCCTGACTGCACACTGTACACTACAGTACAGTGAGATCACAGAACACATTAGGATTATATTATCATCAAGACAAGGGCTGATCAAATCCTATTCTTCAATGATAGAAACCAGTAGATCTCTTTCTACAGGGTTCCTAATTAATCAAAAGTTAAGTTACCAACCAGTCATAGTTTTGAACAAATAATAAAATTATAAGATTTATTTAGTATCTTATGGAATTAGTTTTCATCTGATTGCCAGCACAGTGTTGTGGTGGTTAGTGCTACTGTTTCATAGCTCCAGGATTTCAGCCTCAGGCTTCTGTGCATATGGAACTTCCGTATTCTTCTACAGTTGTTGAGGTTTACTTTAGGGTTGTATAGCTGGCTTCCTTCACCCAGAGATACGTTATCTAGGTTTAACTGGATATTCAAAATGGAAATTGCCCCATTCTCTATTGACCATTGATGGACTGATGTCCTTTTCAGAGGAAGAACAGATATGGTATAAGCTTTCAATTCCCACTTTGCACCCTATGCTTCTGAGGCAGATTCCAACTTGCCATAACCTTCACCAGGAATAGAGGGGTACAACGATGACAAACAATTTATTTCTGAGTGGTTTTTAAGCACACCTGTACAACCGCACACCTAATAACTGTATGTAAAAAGAAGTATGCAATAAAAACAATACAGGCTTAAAAGGAAAGAAATACCCTCACCAAAAGTGAGGCTAAACTATGTATTAAACACCAAGATGCAGAGATTTAGATAGTGAGTCCCACGGGTGGTGTTGCACAAATACATTGCCTTATACATGAGCAGGAGAACCTCAATTAAGTCTCAAATAATAAAAAAGATGGATGAATAGGAAGCTCAAAAGGCACTGTGAACTTTCAGAATTGAATATGCCCAGCTCTGATGCAAAGCACGTGAGAAGAGAACAAAAGACCTCACCTGGCCAATAAGGAGTTCAGGTAGTCTGGGGTGGTGGGGTCTGGACTGAGAGGAGGCGATACTACAAAGGAAGCTGCCTTGGCCCAGTTTTTACTCCAGTAATGTGTCCCATCCGTGCCCAGACTCGCTGAGATGGGTTCCCCAAACACTACGTTACCTAGGCAGAAAAAAAGGGTAAGAACATTTAAAGGTTCCTTTTGAAATAATATTCTCTATCAAGAAAACACATTGTCATGGAACAAGGAGAGTAGATCTAAATAATCAAAAGCTTAGTGTCCTTAGAAATTTCCAGCACACGCAAAACAACAGAACAATGTTCCTGATAATAGAAGCATTTCATACCTTGATACTGTAAACGAACACTTGTCAATGTTTGCAATTGAAGCCCTGTTTAATTTGGACTTATTTACAGTTAACATTCAAAAAGCTTTTGCCAGGCTTCACCGACTAAATGTTAACAACAAGTTTATGCTATTGCTTCTCCTCTTCTCAAAATAGATGCACAAAACACTTCTTTCCTGCAGAGACAGTGCAGCAGGAGGTCTTCAGCAATCATTACATGATGAATGGAATGACAGGAAGAAGTACAGCAAAGGAAGATGAAGCCTAATGCTCTCACAAAGAACTGTCCTTGGAACTGTTCCATTTTCAAAGTCTTTCCGTAAAGAACCATGACAGAGTTCTTAAATATGCGATCGGTTCCTGTCCATTTTTTTTGGTGAAAATGTGAGGAGGTTGATAACAAATCTAAACAGACTTTGAAGCTGCAGGGAGAATCATTATTTTAAGAATTTAACTTTACTAAGGTTTCTCCTTTCACAGTGATTATTCTTCAGAGAAGTATATTTATGACTATCATGCTGTAATAATTTCTTAATTTGTTAAAACGCAAGTTCTATTTTAGGTAAGAAAGCCAGACTTGTGTACACTTTCTCACAATATATCCAGATGAGCTATGGGTTGCAGCTTTGCTTGTAAAGTACAGTGTAAAGCTATGAACCACGGCTTGATTTTAGACGCCAACATCAGATTACTGTTATCTAACTGGTAAATACTGTACATGTATGCTCATTAGCCCTCTGTAATCCAATTTCCCCTTGGTGGACTTCATACAACTGATTCTTTTGTGAAGGCAGGTCAATGAGTAAATGCATATGCGAATTCTCCACCAAATGATCCATCACAGAAGGGAAAGGAGTTCTCCAACACAGCCCCCTTGTACATCCACATACAGTACTGTACATCTGCCACACAACTTCACAGAGTTTTGGATGCCCTCATTATGACACGTTCATTGTTCATTGAGCTACTTGGTCTACTGGATTTCTGCAAAGTGTGTGCTGGGTGGGTGCCAATAATGCTCACTGATTAATATGGACGTCTGCAGATATGTCGTCTCCATCATTACGAAGCAGAAAGTGATGTATTTTTATTACTTGTTTTCACCACAGATGAGACACTTATTCATTATTACTAACCTGAGGGAGAACAGACATCCA